AGGGGAGAAGCAGAAGGGGTGTGCATGGAGAGGCGGTGTAGCCCTGGGGCTGCCCCTCCCTCCCGGCTTTCACCCTCCTGGCCTCTGCAAGGTCTTCTTCCATTTTGGCTACTCCCAGGGTGAGATTCAAAGTGTGGATTAAGCTACTGCAAAAACATTCATTTTACACCACCTTGCATGGAGGTCCTGAAAATTAGCTCCTTTGTCTCACTTCTTTTGGATCTGTAAAGTTTAGCAAAATTTGTGCAGCCGATTTCCTTTAGTATGACAAGCTTTGCATGTTCCTCACACCTGCATCTATGCTTATCTTCTCCTCTAAAGCACTTAATCCTCAAGCAGGACTTAATCTCAAGTGTTGAGCTCTTTCTCAGTAGCCAAACCAGGCATGGCGTAAATTAGTCCCTGAAATGTAATAAATCCTAGCTGCAACATGGAATAAAATTTCTGTTGGTGCAAGTCAGGGCCATAATGGAAAGGTGTAGGGATAAAATGGTGTTTTGAGTTGACCTCAGCCAGTATGGTTCTCTGACATGGGGTGAGTAGCTGGGTTGGCCAAGTATAGCCTTTTTTAGGTGTAAAATCCGAATGCAAAGGGTCAGTCTGGTCTGCAGGTTTGTTCACTCTCAGTTTGTCCCATCTACAGGAGAGATCAGGTCATTGCTGCAGTCTTGTGTGCCAAGAGAAGAAGCTGGTGTTAGGTTTTTCAGCATTAGGAAATCTGACGCTAATTACGAAGTTTCTGTGCACACCTGTGTGGAGGCCCTTCATAGCCAACATCTTTCCCATCTAGGGAAGAACATGTACTTGTCTTCCTGCACAGGGTATGTGCTAATTCCACTTGCAGCTAATTGGCCTTGACATCAAACCAATAATTTCCACAGTAACTATTGATTCTGCAATGCTGCATAATATCCTCGTTCCTCTTTGGAGCGTGCAAGTTACAGCAGAGAAAAATTACTTTGAGGCTTTTCCAACTGTCTCCCCGTAAAATCAGAAACAGCTTTCAGGTGTGTCAGTGCATCAAATTGCAGGTGGTTCTTGGCAGGGTGGAAGAATTACTTACCCCTTTCTCCTTGTTGTTATTTACAGGTCTTAATTTGTAAGTAAAGAACTTTCCATTGCTGCCGTGCGTCGGTAGGCAGGAATATTCATGGTAGTGGTACCCACTGCCCCTGCTCGCCTGTGGGCTCCGAAACGGTTTCAGAGTCTGGCAGTATGGGTTCATCCCCTCTTGGTGCCCACATGAAGTTTTCTTCGTTTGATTAGGGGTTTATCACACGGCCATGGCTGATACTGCGACATCCCTGAGCTGCCTCGTTACGGACCGAAAGGATACCCCAGGGATGGAGGATAAAAGGATCGAGGCCTGTGAGAGCTGTCAGCTCTC